AACGCCGTTGGAGACATCAGGGACGCTGAGGGCAGTCTTGAGACCGGATTCGACGACGTTTTGTTGGCTGAGGACCTATCTCAAAGTCTCGGCACAGAGTCGAACACCCAACGGAATACTCCCATCGCTCTTTCTGCTCAACGCCTCTCCGAACCGGTCGAGGATGATGATACGTTTCATGAATTGAACTGGAACTCAAAGTATGGGATCGCCGCATCGCCTGGGTTCGCCCCGCTCAAGTCCCAGCAGTCTCTGTCATCGTCGACCCAAAATTCTTCAAATTCATTGAAGGCTCTGTCTGAGCGCGACGTTGATCGATCGCCTGGGTCGGCGACTTCGCTCGTGCAGCGCGCCCTGTCGACCAAATCGTCCCACGGCCAAATTCGCGGCCGTCGTCCATCTCACTCTAAGTCATTCTCCACTTCCTTTTCAAATTCAAATCGTCTTTCCAACAACGAACATCCTACATATCCTATTCAATCATTTGAAGCATTGCAAGCTCAGTTTCATGCTCCCCGGCCAACGCGGCCTCTCCGCACGAGAAGCTCACATCCGACCCAAAATCTCCTTTACAACGAAATGTCCACGTGGAACAGGCAAGGTCGAGAACGACAATCTCCTCACCCACAGACCGCAATGACTGCAGACAATACGCCAATGTCAAGTCCAGGTCTTCTTCACTTGGGCGAGCGGGTGCCTTCAGCGTCGTCTCTCAGCGACGCTGGTCGCCAGCCTCACCATCTCCAACCTCCCAAAGAGACTCACACCGTCGAGATCGATCATGATCACCTCTCAGGGAACAAGTTCGTCAACAACTACGAGATCTTCGAGGAAATAGGACGTGGGGAACATGGTAAAGTCAAGCTCGCCCGAGACGTCCAGAGGGACACCATCGTTGCAGTGAAGATCGTCCCAAGATATTCTGGCAAGCGGCGACTCGGCCGACTAGGAACTCCAGAAGATCGGACAAAACGAGAGGTCGCCATCCTGAAGAAGGCGAGACATCCAAACGTCGTCAGTCTCTTGGAAGTCATTGACGATCCCAACAAAAACAAGGTTTACCTTATTCTCGAATACGTCGAGAAGGGCGAAATCAAGTGGAGGAAGCCAGGGGTGCGCGAGGTCCTAGCAGTAAACAACACCAGATTCGAGCAAGAGAGAGCAGGGATCGACCTTCCTCTCGAACCAACCGAAAGGGACCTTTTCAGTGTCAGTCAAGCCAAACGACGCCATGAGCTGCAAGAAAGAGCTCGAGCCCTAAACACGAACCCAACACCCAACTGGAGCCTCGAGCATGGAGGCGAAGATTTTGAAGAGGATGAAGAGTTATCTGAGGCTTCCCGTTCTGCGTCGCGGCATTTCTACGAGTCCAGCAATCCCAGTAGGACCAGTTCTCATGATGAATACTCTGAAGGAGCTCTGGCCGGCAGCATGTATGGTGCCTATGCTCCAGACGCTTACCGTGGTCGGACATTCAGCATCGCAGCCAGCGTTGGTGCCCTCTCTCACATGTCTTCGGAATGGAATTTTGACGAGACCGACGATGAGCACGCCTATGTTCCGGCTTTGACGCTTGAGGAAGCTCGCCGCACCTTTCGAGATACGCTCTCCGGGCTTCAGTTTCTGCACTTCATTGGCATCATCCACCGTGATATAAAACCAGCCAATCTCTTGGTCGCGAGCAATGGCACTGTCAAAATATCTGACTTCGGCGTATCATACCTCGGGCATCCTAAGGACCCTGAGGATCCGGACTTTAAACTGACTGAGAAAGACGTCTCTGCATTAGATGACGAAAAAGAACTAGCAAGATCAGTCGGGACGCCTGCTTTCTGGGCTCCCGAACTCTGCTATGAAGACCCATCCATGTTCGAAGAAAAGGATGGCCCGAAAATCACTGGCGCTCTGGACCTTTGGGCTTTGGGAATCACTCTCTATTGCATGGTTTATGCCCGTTTGCCATTTTATGCAAGTGAAACCATGGGCCTTCACGAAGCAGTATGCAAGACTGAGGTGTTTCTTCCACGGACTCGGCTTGTGCCGGTTGATACATCTCAAGACAAGCCAACCGCGGAGGTACCAGATTCGATCAACAGTAACAAGAGACTCGACTATGAACTCAAATTCGAGGTGGTCCCTGATGCTGTACGTGACCTCATTCGCCGACTCCTGATCAAGGATCCCGCAAAGAGAATGACGATCGAGCAAGCTAAGAAGCATGAATGGGTTGTCGAAGGCTTGCAAGACCCGTCACAGTGGATCAAAGGTCCCGAGTTGGAGAAGGAAAGCAAGAAGAAAATTTTGGACGTGGACGAGAGAGAAATGTCACACGCAGTCGTCAGGAGGAACATCATTGAGCGGGCGCTCAGCACAGCCGGGCGAATCGCAGGCAATCTGCTTGGAAGGAGCAATACGCGGAAGCGTGCTCCCAGTGCGGCCACATCGGCCAGCCAGTCGAGCGATTCCATCGCATCGCCTGCAGGCTCCAATGCAAGTACTGTGGGAAAGATTGAACGAGACAAGATTCGGGACGCTCGTCGAGCTAGTCTGCGCGGCGACGAACTTCTGACGGCCTTGAAAACTTCGAGAGAAAGCACTGAGCATCCGCTAGCACAGAGTCAAACTGCCAGCCCAGAGGCAGCTGGACAGGAACATTACTTCAGCGACTCGGTCTCAACCAAAAAAGCCGCGTCGTCGGCTTGCACTCCGATAGCTGTGCGTGAAGCACGACCCACTGGTCCAGACCGAGCGACCTCAACCGTCTCCACTGCCGAGTCTGTCAAGACAATCAGAGCTTCGCAGGTGCAGCGACTGCCCTTGCCATCGTCAGGCCTCTCACGTGACGAACGACCTGTCTCCCTCGACAGAGGATTCAAAGCTAGAGTCGACGGCCTTTGGGAGGGAACTAAGACCTTGGCGCGTATCGGGAGTCGAGAACGACGTGCACCGCGAGATGACCGGTCACCCGCCTCGAGCCGTCATTCGTCCGAAAGTGACGCCCGTGCAGAACCCAGCATCGCTATGAGCACGGCTTCGGCAGCAGGTGCTATTGAGCCGCCCGATGTCCTCCGTGATACCGATCTAACCGTTGACCAGAACATCTCTCCGCCGACTCCGCATTTGATGACTCGCGGTGATCATAGAACGTCATTTCGAGCACCAACATCAAGCCAACAAGCCTTTGAACAAGCCCAAGAAGTCAATCAACGTCGCCTTATACACGAGGTTCATTCTCAAGCTGAAGCGGCCATGGATGCAATATCGAGGCCGCAGAGCGTCGTGACCGATTTTTGCCCTCCCTCACCAGATGATATTGCCTTTTTTGAGAAACAGCGTGCACAAGTCTCGAGTGAGCTACCAACGTTCTCGCTCGGGCCAAATGCTATTCAATCGGGACCATCAGCAAGCACCATTGCCTCGTCCCTTGATGACTACGGTGCCAGCAGCGTATCACAGAGCATGTCGAACCCGAGCATTGGTGTCATATCTGGCGCTTCTTCACCCCCAGGAGAAGGCTTCCTGGGTTCAGCATATACGGAAGCTCCTAGAGATTTGCCTGCTCTGGGCAAAGAGCCCGAACCTGAGTTCATGCGCACCGCGGACACAATAACCAAACATGGCAGACCTACGCAGATCGCGACTGGTCCAGCGCTCGAAGATTGGCAGAATAGAAGCCACAATGATGACCACGATGGTGATGACGATTCAGACGATGGAATGATGATGCCGGCTTCTACAAAGAAGAAGATTTAAGATTCTCATCGCTGAAGGGACTCCAGGAACATACACGAACACCAATGACGAGACTTTCCACGTTCTTTTGCATTCGATGAGGAACTTGGCTCCAATTTTCACTAGATACCCCGGGTTTAACAGACATAGCAACGGCGCGCTGGAAATGGCAGGGATATATTGTGCATGGGCATTGCGCGGGACTGGGAATAGGAAACGCCTTCAAAAGCGGGAGGAATATCTGCGCTTGGTTGATTTATGGGACGATCCTGATGGTCAATGTACATCAAACATGCAGAAAAGTTGCATGCTGTTTTTCATCTCGACTCAGGGAGGGTTTCCATGTACATTTTAGCTGTGTGGCTGGAGCAGACGACCAGGGGCTCAGTGATGGAGAGGGCTTTTCAGTGACATTCACCAGGACTTCCTGGGTCAAAAGGTGAAATGACAATGACGATTACCATGAAGCACGCTCTAGCTAGGACTTGGGTAAGCGCTTTTGTCTATTATGTTGGAGGCGAGGCTGATACTCCTGTTCTTACCTTATAACCACCAAGTCTCCGGCAGTACCGCTCAAGTGTCTGAACAAAGAACTTACCAAGACCAAACCAGTCTAGGCATTGTGATGTGTCTTTTGCCGCTCATCACCGATCTCTCTGTGTCCTGTTAACAACCTGCAGCCTCTAGTTAGGCGAATAGACCAGCACAGGCTCGACTTCGCTGTTTTCCAGTCCCTCGGGATGCTCCGTGTTCAAACAAGACACAATGTTCTCCTTAACTACCTGTGACTATATTACAGGAGAAAACGTCTGTCAGATAATTCAGAGCAAGGAGAATGGAACGTCTGCAAAAGTAATGTGGAACAGCCGTTGAGATCGGTATCTTTGTTGGGCGCTCTGTAGGTGAGGGATGAGCGGTTCCAAAAGCGGCATGGTCTGTTGGAATTGCACGTGATCTCGGCCGCAGGTCTCACTCTTCTCCAATGGAATTGCTTCAGGATGCTGGATGCTTTTGATTTTCTACAAATCTGCAGAACTTACCTCGACCTCTACTAAGTCTAATTTGTTTCTGGTGCTGCCATTTCTCCCTTCCTTCTCCTCTTCTGCTATGGGTTACATGCAAATCGCCGACCAGGGGCCAGTTATGCTATGACAATTTCGCAACCAACTTTTTCCTCGAGTATCCTCTTCCGACTTCCTGCTGTGGCCGGCCCAAAGTCCCTTCCTGCATCATAAGGAATCGTTCCGATCGTATCCGGTAACTGCAAAATGCAGCGAATCCTACGCATAAACCTCCAAGCCCGCAATCAAGCCCTCAAAGCTTCTCGTCGGAAAAACTATGAAAAGCTGCGAGATGACTGGAAAGACTATGAGACCCGTCTGATCCAAACGGAGAAAGTGAAAAATGCCTACATTAAAGCAGAGCGCAGAGCGCGGCGAGAGGATTGGGTCATGGGACCTCTTGCCCCGAAACGGGACGTCGGCACAAAGCAAGATTTCTATGGTACTGTCAGTAACCTCCTCTACCAAGGGCCAGTTTTCCCCCCGAAGGTTAGACATGGCCCTCGGAGTAACGGGTGGGACCCTGTCGGAGGTGAGGGATTAGAAGAGGAGCAGAAAGAGTGGCAAGGTTTCGGAAACGAAGGGAATATCGTGGAGGGAGATCGAGTTTGCATTGTGAAGGGGAAAGAAAGTTTAATCGGACAGATTGGCAAAGTGAAGGATGTCAGTAGCGATTCCAAGGAATTGAGAATTGAAGGTCTCAATATGGTATGGACATTGTCTCGGTCATGGGCTGAAGATTGTCAACATGAATCTAACTTCAACTAGGCCGATGTTGAGATCCCTGAGAGTTTTGGCGAGCAGCGCGACAAAATTCACTTCTCATCCCTCGAATTACCCATCCCCATCAGCGACGTACGGCTTGTTTACCGCCTTACAGACCCTACTACCGGCCGCGACAGAGATGTCATCGTAAAGTACATCCGTGGCGGCGCCCCTTATTTCCAGCGCGCCCCCAATTCACCTCTGCCACGACATACACGCTACGTTGCGGGCGAAGACATTCAGATCCCGTGGCCGGAAGTTGAAGCCCCCAGGTATCAAGCCTTCGAGGGAGATACTACACGCTACGATGTCGAGTCACAAACCTGGACACCCACCATCTATCAACCGCCCCTCCCCTCACAGGAAATATTTGACAACTTGACGGAAGATGACAAATATAGGCGAGACAGGGCATGGCACGAAGACGAGTACGTGAGGATGAAGGTCTTGGAAGACGCTCGTGCAGAATGGTTCAAGGAGAGAAAGATCCAAGGTCCCTTGGCAAAGATGGCAGAGGAGAAACTTCGGATTGTGGCAGAGAGAGCGGAATCAATTAAGCAAGCCGGAATGAGTGAGGAGACGAGGAAGATTCTGATGGAGGAGATGAATGCAGCAAAGGGGAGGAGACTGAAAGCGTCGGCATAATGTGTGAGGTCCGACTGCTGAGCGGCATCTCGATTCCCCTGTCCTGGGCAAGACCCTCTTGGGCTGTGGATATATGGCCCTAGTGTTCCACCAAGGCTTGTGTCTGGATATAAAACAAGGGGGAAGGTCCATCACTGTTTGGTGACAGCGTTGTACATCTAGATTATTAGACCCCTCCACCGCGACAACACCATGAAAAGACTCTCTGCCAACGACTTTTGGCGCAAGACATGTCCACTGTTGATAGACTCCGTCTTTGTGAATTCACTCGTTCCCTCGGTTCACCCCTCGTATGCTCCGCGCGGTTCGAGGGAAAGTGTGGCCACAGTGAGAATGAGCCTTGTCTTTGCTGTGACCCGGACCTCATATTTCATATTTAACATCTCATGTCTCGTGTCGTGTCTTTAGATGGCGTTATGAGTTTTTGTTTTCCCCGGAGAACAGGATCCATACCCTATAGCAGCGGTTATATCCCAACAATGTGAGCTCTTGAGCCCAGCCACCCATCCGATCATGTGGTCAAGTAACCAGATTCCCTACAAACTCCACGCCCCTGCCTTTCCCTTCCCTCACGGAGAGCTGGGGCCACTGCACAAGAAACCGATCCACAAATGGCTTCAACAGCCTCCCGCTTAGACTGAGCGTCCTCACGCGTGCCCAAGACTCGATGAAGATAGTACGCATTTGCCCGGATTGCGCAAACTTTTCTCCAGACACGGCGGCGGAAGGACCTGAAAAGCCGAAGAATAAGAGGATGATCGATGAAAGGAAGATGATTACCCCGGTCCCAGGTCCGTTGGTCACTATCAGATCTGGATAGGATGGTGGAGTTTTCCCGTCAGACTGTGGTTGAAAATCTCGATGCGTGCCGCGAAGCACAGCGAGGCAGTCCCACAGACATTGGAGGCTCGTGATGGGAGCTGTGAGCAGGGACTGATGCACACGTCGCGCACGACGGACTGTTACCACGCTGTAGCTCGAGGCGCTGTCCGAGGCGATGGACGCGGAAGAGGCCTTTTTCAGATTCGACAACATCTCAGCCTCAAAATCTTTCGCTTTTAACGCAGAGAAATCGTCCCCTGAGCTGACCACATAGGTCCGGGTAGTGAAGTCGAGCTGTAATCGTTGATATTGGCCCAGGATGTTGAGCATTTCTGCGGTGTGTCCTCCCGAGCCAAGCACAACTAGTAAATGGGTTGGATTCTTGGGCGAGGGCGGAGGCCGGCGAGATATTGGTTCACGCCTGAGCACTGTGACGAGGCGGAAGAATGATAGGCTGAGCAGGATGAGAGCGACAGCAAGAATGAACAGCAGAGGTTGGCGGGTTGGCGAAAGCGTAATTAGCGGCGTCAGCATGGTCATCCAGATAGTTGTGCCGCCCGGGAAAGGGCTTCGCTGATGTTGGCGTTGTTGTGCTTGATGGGTGTTCATTTCTGGAGACAGGCTCGCTTCCTGCAATATGAGATAGAGTCAATGTCTCTGTGTCAGTAGCTGACGAAGAGCTAAGCGAGACGTCCGACACCTGGAGGTTTCACACATGGTCATTTCCTTCTGAGATATACCCAGTCAAAACAAAGACATGTTGGCAAGATATTGTCGCGATGTGAACAAGGCTGACGAGGCTGAGGGGCTGAGGAGCTTGTTCATTTGTCCGGCAATAGAAGGTTTATCGCCGAAGAGCGCTAAACCCAAAATAGTAGACAGTTGACTCTCCAAACTTTGGAGCAAGGATGAAACTTTGCTGCGTTGTCAGTTCATGCCTTTGCCTCTCCAATAGCATGTCGGACAACCAGTTCATATAACAACCATCCCAGGAATCTCGCAGCTTGTTTTCCCAATCATGTTATCGCAGTCATGCCTGTTACACTTCGCCGGCGCTTGGACTGTCATTACTGTGGACGCAGATCGAAATTGCCAGTGGGGAAGAAGCCTGGTTGCAAGTTTCGGTGCGATCACTGCCTTGCCGTCAACTTCTTCGACGAGGTAGGTACATCCTCTCTTCAGAGACCCGCTGCCACTAACTCATGTTCTAGAATGGCGAGATAGCAGATGTCCCTTTAGAAGAAGCCGCATCCGCTCAGCGCTTCGCGCAGCCGGTCGCTGCAAATCCCGTTGCCAACGACTTCTCCTCCCAGGACTCAGTGTTCTGTTCGACATGCCTCAAGAACCAGCAGCTGTACACCTACAATCTCTCCCAGTTCCTCCCAGATCCAGATCACCCCGACTACGAGGAACTAGAGGCTCAACTTCCAGAGTACAAGAAGGGACTCGAACAACGATACCCCCAATGCTGCGCCAAGTGCGAACCCAAAGTCAGAGCTCAGTTGCACAAGGCTACCTACAATGCCAGAAGCGATCACCTCCGGCGGGTCTTGGACAGGTCGCGACAAAGGAGGGTTGCCAGTCCATGGGGTTGGAGAAGTCTTCTCCTCAACGCGGCTGGATTTGGTTATATTCTCAGTCTGTCTTTGCAATTAATCTGGCATCTGTACGGCTCTCAAGTGGTCGGCGGGTCGTTGAAGCGAGGACTCACACCCGCTGAGTGTCTCTCTCAGCGGCGCTGCCTGCCTGAATGCCTAGAAATGATGGAGCCGCTTGTGGGACTCGCTTTAGTTCTTGGAATGCTCTGCATCTGGTGGAATCCAAAGTGGCACCACAAGTTGTCGAACAGTGAACGGCGCTTGTCGGGCTTAAATCAGTATTATCTGGCACAATTTGTCTTGCTGGGGTTGAGATTCAGTGCCTGGATTGTCTTGTTTCATGTCCCTCTGTCCTCGCGGATGAAAGCAATGCTGCATGCTTGTTTTGTGGTCGCCATTACAGTGCTTGCGGGATGGTCGATTTTTGGAATCACGACAGTCAGCTCTGGACCCCAGATCAATTGGCATGATGACCCAGCCCCATTGCTGTCGAGCAACCAGTTCGTCCCTCCGCCCCCTCTTGAAGAGCAAGGGATACAGCCATCACCGGATCAGCCATTCAGCATTGCCAATTTGGCAGCGCCTGGAAGACCAACCTATCAAGCATGGAATCCTCCCACGCCCCCGCCAGAGAGTGCCGAAGCGATGGACTGGACACCATCCCAGCCGACTTTTCAACCAGAGCTCAAGCAGATTCGCTATACAGCAGCCGATCCAACGCCCTTTCGCGGCACTCTACCAGCATTGAATGCAAAGGGTGTCCTCAAAAATCAGATTCAGGGGCGAACTGGTAAAGAGGCTATTGGTCTTCCGCCGGGATTTTTCGACAAGTCTCATAAGTCGTTCCTCCCTCCGCGCCAAACCGCAACAGCCAGCGAGGCCATAGCACAACCAAAGTTCTTCGGACACGAGAGACAAGTCGATACGGGGCTGGAAAGCATATTTGACACCGTCTTCTCTTTGCAGGATTCGTCCTTGCATCAGACTGAATCTGTCTCCACCTCTGGTCCAAAGTCTCTCAATCCTCCACCCGCTGGAGAGGCTCGCCTTGGGCCACAAACTGTGCCTGAAACTCTGCCGGTTCTGAAACTCTTCAGTAGCATATCCATTCTCTCACTCATGGTAGGCCTGGCCGTATGGATCTTCGAAGCTGCCATCCGACCCAAGACTACGCAACTAGGCTACTACACCATCCTGTTTAGTGTGAGCGTGCCGTTTGGTCACATCATCATCAGTCTTTATTTGCACGGAACTCGCAGTCAAACATCAAAACTACTCCTGTACACTCTTGAAGCGGGCCTGTTGGTCGGCGTTGCCATGGTCCAAAACCGATTCGGTGAACTCTTTCGAAATCTTTGGGATAAGCTTGCCATTGCGGTCGTTGCTCTATTGCTCCCTCAAGAGTTTCTGGCACTGAGTCGTGACCACTCGGCATTCCAACGTCGCCATCAAACCACTTCACACAACCCTGTTTCACTCCAGCCATTGCCTCAATCGCAGATGCAAAGGTCTATGAGCCCTCATCCCAGCGCTCCGGCGGCAACAATGCCTCGCCTTATACGAACCGACTCAAGTGAGTCGAATCAGACTCAGGGTTCAATACCCACGACTACCGAGACCGAACCATGGGAAACACCACGAGCACAGAACTATCGGTTGGATTGTTTCGAATCATCCGAGCCTCCGTCAGTGACAGCGAGTACAAGGTCTTCAGCGAGTCGAAAGCATCAACACCAAATTTTGAATCGACACATGATTGGTATGGATGGTCTGTCATTGGATGAAGATGACGGGATTTCACGGGATGAGAGTACAGGTGTCTCGAATACACTCAAACGCGTGAGACTTGGGTCTTCTTCTGGATCAAGCATTGCGGGGCCTAGAGCGAGACGGAAATTTTGATCTGCTGGTGTACTCCAAGGCAAGACGGACTGTGGAGTTACAACGGTTTCTGTTTGGAGGCATTCTCATTGTATGCGGCATTTTAGAGCGTTGGAAATCGGAAAGAAGACGGCAATGGGTGCAACGTCTTATGGGCATAGCATAGCATAGTATGAAAGTTTTCTCATTTCAGCATCTATAAAGTGGGACATTCCTTGACGTGGTGAGACTGTCGAGGCATAAAGACGCAAGGACAGGAACGATAACGATCAACAGACTAGGGTCATGTCCACCCCTAGGACCTTTGTCTACTCGGTACATCAAGTTCTGAAGCCCCATTCGGACTCTGAAATACGGGATGCAGTCCATTGTCCTGTTCCAACGCCGTGAAATGCTCGTTGACCTACTAGGAGTCTATGTCAATTTCTGCTTGATAAAGAACGATCTCAGATGTGAAAGCTGCCATGCGCAGGTGACGCCCAACACGCCCAGTTGGATCAACGTCCAACGGACGATTCTCGCGTTGACGGCTTCGCTTTGGTCGCGGAATTCTGCTTCTCGTTCCTAGCCACGCATCCTGGATTAGTGACCTCTCCTCCGTGGCAGGCAACAACACAGAGAAACGCGAAGATGGCAGTGTGATGAGCTTCGACTTACTCTTTGAAACTTCTGCTCCCTCCTAATATCTTGTAGTCTCCCGTTCAGTTCCCTCACCTTGCCGACAATGGTGTCAATTTTACCCTTGTCCTCACTCTCAATTTTGCTCGTTTCGCCGATCGCCATGTCGACGGTTAGCTTGACTCCTCCCAATTCATTTCCACCGTTTCCGAACCATCCATTCACGCTGATCGCGGCAGGTCCAGAAGGCGTAAAGCAGAGTCTGTGCAGGCCCGAGTCCGCGGCGCTAAAGGTGAATTTCGACATCTTGTCCGACGATTGGGTTGTTTGGGTTACGACGCGGTGGTCGTTGTCGAAGGTCTCTTCGACTGTGAAATGGATGTTGAGGTCTGAGGTGGTTGAGAAAGTCTGAGTCTGAGGGGAGTAGGCTTCAGATTTGTATGTCCCTGCATTTCCAACGTCGAATTAGCGTCTGGTCGGTTTGTTTCGCTTTTATGTTATGTGTCCTTTCGCCGAAGCAGCAGACTTGCACTGGTACTGCATCCGACCAACGGTGATTTAAGATTGGAAGACCGCTAAGCAGACGCGAGCGTCAATCAACTCTTAACGTACCGACAACGAGCGTGCCCTTTGGCAAATCCTCATAAAAGCACTTGGGCGTCGTGCCGTCGAGATAGAAATATAGGCCTTGTGATGAAGGAATGAGGGAGAATGTGAGCGCAACAAAAGTCGCCAGAAAGGATTTCATCTTTGCTTCTGCTCCCCCGTTCGCTTTGGATAGTTGAAGGTGGGGATGGTTTTGGCGGAACGATGGCGAGGGCGCAGACGAGTCGATTGAACAAAATGTCCAAAATTCAATGCCAGACGGCACGCACACAAGATGCGGAGCGCAGGCCCCTTTTGGCCCCTTTTACTCGGGGACAAGATTCGCGCTGCTCTATGGTGGTCCCTGGCCAATAAAATTTCAACATGTGTCAGGGCTTCTCAGCCTTGCAGCCATTTTTAGCCTCGTCATGAGATTCAAATGACGAGCCAGTCACCTGACCAGTCGTTTCAAATGTCTCCAAGTTGCTCGCCGCGTGAATCTTTCACCCTCTGTCGGCTGCGTTTCCGATCTTGCCCTACTCGTGCTTCCTTCTGATTTTCACTTTAAATGGTGCGTCGCACTCCGGAAGCATTCATTGATGAGGCGGAGCCAAACCCGTCTGGAACTACGACACCCTCGTCCGTAGAACGACTCTGTAGCCTCCCGACAAAATGGCTTCTACGAGCGACATCCGCGATATCATGAACCTGGGCCAAGCAGGGCCCCGCCACCTTGCGCCCAAGAAGAAAAAACATGTTGAACCTCAACCGCGTGTCACCGGTGTCAAGCGAGAGGTGCAAGCGCTGATGGGCGACTCTGTCCCTCCCATTGCCATCGTCGAACAGCGCTCCTACAAATCAAGACCTTCCATCTCTCAGAAATTGTTCAAGCCGCGCCATTGGGAGGAGAGACCATTTGTGCACGGTGGAAGAACAGATGGATTAGTGCTTAAACACTGGAAGCGATCCATTCCTGGCTCGGGTGCCCGTGCTCCGATCGTTGCGAATGACTCGGCGGACGTTGAAATGAAAGACGAGCCAAAGACATCCCCAGCGATGCAAGAACTACAATTCGAGGAAGAGTACCCATCCCAGAAATGGAATGTCAAAGTTCAAGTACCGTCCTACACAGACGAGCAGTATCAAAATCTGTTAAAGTCGAAGGATTGGACGCGGCAGGAGACTGATTATCTCATGGACCTTTGCCGCGACTACGATTTGAGATGGATCATCATCGCCGACAGGTACAGCCCGCAAGACATTCCAGCTCCTAAGCCGGCTGCTCAAAATGGGGAGATAACTGGCAACGAACTTGTTGTGAGACCTCACTACCCGAATCGTTCCATGGAAGCTCTCAAACAACGATACTATGCCATTGCCGCAAAGATGATGGAATTGAAAACACCAGCGAGCACAATGACGCAGGCTGAATTTCAACTCTGGGAGAAGATGCGTAATTTTGATGCTAAGACCGAGACAATGAGGAAAGCGATGGCAGAGAAACTATTCGAGCGCACCAAAGACGAAGCTGACGAGGAGAGGATTCTTCTCGAAGAACTTCACCGCATCACCAAGAACGAAGACGACTTCATAAAAATGAGACGTGATCTGTATGCGAGACTCGAACCTGTGTCCACCATCAGAAGAACTGAGAGAGGGGAGGAGCAATCTACTGCCATATATCAGACTTCTGGAGGACTGGCAATGTTATTTCAGACTCTCCTTGCCAAAGAAAAGAGGCTTAAGCGGCCTCTTATGCCCGGTAGCGTCGAAGCCGGCCCTGGTTCCACGCCTACTGAAGCGCAGAGATACGACAAGGGCAGACACCCTCCCCAATATAGCCGACGAGATACCACGGACACCCAGGCCACCGAAGATACAGTCCGCGTACAAAAGAAAGGCTCAACGTCCCAACCTAGTGTTCGGGTCTTGTCGCCACAGGAGGAAGCACGATTTGGTGTTTCGCATCCACAGGAAAGAATCACCAGTGGTGTCCAGTTCCGCCATGAGAAGATTAACCGCCTCACTATGGCCAAGAGTCAGACGCAAACGACCAAGATACAAGCTGCATTGACCGAACTGGGGATCCCGCCTCGTTTGCTTATGCCGACGGAACGAGTATGTCGAGAATTCGAGCGATTGGTTACCGAGATCAATGTGCTGCTTGACTGTAGAAAAGTTAATGAGAAGATTGCGACTGAGATTAAGATTTTGGAGGAGGCCAGGCGGATTAGGCTGGGATTGCCAAAAGACGGAGAGGATCCTCCTGCTTCTTCCGATGCCGCTCAATCTTCCCTTCCTATAACGGCAGACAAGATGGAGGTTGAAGATTCTCAAGTAGCAGAAAATTCTAAACTTGAAAGCACCAAGGATGACTCAATGGCGGTGGCTGAAGAAGACCAAGACGCTGAGGCCGAGGATGATGTCCCTCCGCAGAAGACTGATGAGAAGAGGCATGGTGGAGAAGTTGGGAAGGAAAAGAGCACCATGCAAGTGGACCAGCAAGCAGAGGAAGGAGACGAGGATGCGATCGCGGACGTGGATCAAGATACGGCGCAAGATAGTGCTGCAAAAGCTGCCGAGGATCAAGAAGAAAACGAAGGAACTAAAACGGGAGAAGACAATGAGGAGGAGGAGGAAGAGGAGGAAGAGGAGGATGAGGATGAGGATGAGGAAGAGGAAGAGGAAGAAGAAGATGACGAAGAGCAAAACGACGAAGTGGTCACTGGGGTTGATGAAGAGGATGAGGATGCTGATGAAGATGAGGATGAAGCTCATATTAACGTCAATGAGGATGAAGAGGACGAGGATGCTCAGCTCGCTGCAACACCGCAGAATGAGAGCGACGCAGAAGTGGACAACGAGGACGAAGATGAAGATGAGGACGAAGAGCCAGAAGTGGATGCAGAATCCGACGAGGAAGCAAATGCCAACGAGGATGATACAGGCTCGGAGGACGATGCTGATATTGATAATCAAGATGAAGACAAAGACGACGAAGGAAATGAAGACGACGCCCGTGCCGCAGCAGAGGCCGAAGACTCAGATGATGCAGAGGGAGAGCCAGAAGAAGACGAAGAAGAAGAAGAAGCGGCGGCCAGCTCTCTACCACGCGCACATAAACGCTCTGCGAGCGTCATATCCGAGGCAAGCCGCGCGGGAAGTAATCGAAGTGGGATCGAGAGGAAAAAGAGACGTTGAACACCTGACTTTGAGAATTATCTAAGTAGACGCATTCGTGTTCAGTGTCTTTTAATCCTGCCTGCTTATGAAGGCGCGTGGGTTCTCTAACGAGCGTAACACCTCTCTCTCCATTAATGCCCAAGCCCACGGAGCTCAGTCGGGGCGGATTCAATCTCCTATCTCCTGTTGTTGTAAACGAAAGACCATGGCCACATTTTTTTCTTTCCCGGAAATGTATCGACCCGTGGACCCCGTAGGTTTCAACTTCCCGGGTGTAGGCAGGCAGTCCACGCGCGCCACGCTAAGAATATTCACAAGGAACCTCTGATCACCCATCGATCATGAGCATCCTTCTTGTTCTGTCTTGGTTCCATCTACTCCTCCTCACTCACCTCGCTTTCCTCATCCTGAAGCATGACTTGGAATTCTTTTTCCCCGAAGAGTCTGTCGGCATTATCCCAGTTCTCGCCTTGATTGGCCTCGGGAGCCCCCTTCTGCTGGTTGTCGGACTCTTCGGACGCCTCGAACAACGCAACAAGATCTGCCACGTCATCATCGTTGGGCTCAAAAGGAGAGATTCTACCGCCCTCGCTGTTATCCGGGAGTGCGGATTGTTCGTTGTGGTCAATGACCATCAGGTCATAGTTTCTGATGCGTGCGGCTCTCTCCTCAGTCTCCGATTCAGAATCCATGTCTGTGGGGGGAGCGGTAGGAGGAAGTTGAAGGGTCGGCCTGCGAGCAGGGACGTAAGTAGGCTCTTCAGGTAGGATGTCGACGCTGAGAGCATCGGAAGAGAGGGTAGTGTCAGAAGTGTTGGGAACTGCGGGACGGGCAGTATTGGGACCCGAGAGAGCCTTGGTGAGATCCGCTAGAGATGCTGCAGAAGATTGGGCCTTCTCCTTGCCCTTTGCGCGAGGGTTCGACTTCGCTGCGGCAGGTTTGGGTTGGGTGACCTTGGAGGCCATATAAGAAGACGTGGATTGTGGTGCTGGTGCTGGCTTGGGGGGCAGACTTGAGGACGGGTGATTCGCAGCTGGAGCAGTCGAAACGGCGGTATTGACGGCAACGGCTCCAAGATGTCCAGCTGCTGCAGCGGCGACCCGCTTAGGGTCCCACCCTTCTAAGGGATGAGGAAGATCGCCCGTTGCCTTCCTCAGGGCAAGGTTCTGGGTTTGTTGCATCCAAGCATAGTCGGACTGCTTGCGTTTTTGGCGCTTGGAAGGGCTGACGTCTTCGGCTGGGGCGGGCAGCGTTACGGGCGGTGCTGGACGCTTTGCGGATGTAGTTGCGGAAGGTCGAGAGCTTGCTGCATGGGCAGCTGCTGTTTCACGTGTTGGTGGAATTGACGGAGCAGATGATGCAGCTGATGCAGTCCCCGCTGTGGTCGTCAGTCGGGCAGGGGTTGCGGCTCCCAATGCAACCGTCGTCTGCGTGGCAGCGTGGCATCCCTCCCATATGTCATACCGAGCAGCACCAGCCAAAAACTCTTGAATTGTACCCTGTCGCCCGGAGGGACCAGGCTCTTCGTTGGTGAGGTCAATAACCTGGGCAGGAGCTTGCACCATTTGTGGAGGTTGCAGCTGCTGGCGGCTGCTATGGTGCAATGGACACAAAAGGCAGATGTCTGCTTTAACGAGTACTCGTTGGTATTGGCGTTGCATTCGCTCCATCTTGGCTTCGTATACCTCTTGGAATACTGGCTTTGGTCTATCGCTCTGCACAACTGCGGATTGATTCGATGTAGGGATCACTGGAAATAGTTTACCATTTGGTCCAATCGTGAAATCATAATAGCCACGAATCATATTGTAGAAGCTTTTGACCATGACATTCTCTCTCTTTAGTGTCGCATTTTCCTTTTCAAGAGCGGTAACCCGGTCTCGGAGCGTCGCGACATTTCTGCCATGTTCTTCTTCAAGCAAGGAGATCTTGTCTTGTGATGTTTGCAAGGCGGCCCGCAGCTGGCTCACGAGTTCCTGGGTCCACATCCGTTCACCTGCAGTATCCTGATGGCCTTGGGGGATGACAGGGACTCCTTGTGAAATGTTTTCGTTAAAACTTTCAAAGCCTGTAAAAGCAGGGTCGAGATAGACCTGCTCCTGAGGGAAGAAATTGCCGTGGACGCCATGAGAATCATTATCGCTCATCACATCCTGGGCCAGGAGGCCTTGCATTCCCACATGATCGTTCTCGGTGAAGTACCCATCGTTGAAGGATGTCATGGCGTTAGTCATTCGCTCGCCATGGATTGGGATAGTACTGCTGCCGTCGACTGGAAATTGAAGCACACTGCCCAGAATTTGAGAGTACTCGTTTGCAAAAAGGTTGTCGGCAATCATTAAGTTTGGTGGCATGTTGCTCGGCATACCCGCCTGCTGAGTACCAAGATGACTACCATTAGCGTTCACATGTTGAGGGGTGAGGTTGGCCATTCCCATAGGATAGTGTCGAACAGGGCTCCAATTAGCGGTTGAATTCTGAGGCATGTGGTACGGTAACCCCACAGGATGATGTTGATGAGAACTGCCCATATCAGGTGTGTTGTGACGTCTGTGGTTAGGCTTTCTCATGGATGGATGTTGAAGAGGGTAGCCGCCGTTCAAGGGATTCGACATTTGGGTGTTTAGTATCCTGGCCCCGAAATTCCCTGGGGGATTGTTGTTCATGATGCCGCCATTCTGGCTAAAATCCATGTGGTGGCCAAAAAAGTTTCGCACCACGATCTGCCCGTGCACGTTGAAACCAGGACAGGCGTAGACGTTCACTGAGCTTCCGATAAGGTCGTTCAAGCGACAGGCCTTATTTTTCATCACACCGCAATTGCGACCCAAATCTGTGTATTGAGTGTATTTGTCTCCGAGGTGTAAGGTCAGGTTGAGGTTGATAGCGGCGGTTGGGTCTGATGCTGTAGATCTGTCGAGGGAAAACTCGTTGTGAATGTCTTGTAACTGTCAACCACCAAGCTTTCCCATGCAATAGTTTGAATGGGGTCTGTGATTATTGCATCCAGGAAATGGACGGGTGCACGGCGAAATGAGTGACACTTCAGAGCACAATGGTCGTTGACAAAGGAGTCTTCACTACCTGGGGCGCGGTGTTATCGGGAACTCGATCAGGTGTTTCGCCAGTCGCTAAGTTACTGAGCTGTGAAGTCTCAGAGGACTCGATTTCTGGAAAGAGCAAACGGGATTGAGGACAGCGCAGTTTTCATGCCGTTTGGTACTCCTGAGGATTCCAGGCGTAAATGTTGTGCTTGGTAAAGAGAATTTGGGCACCGAAAAAGACGATTTACAGAGAGGTTGGACAAAACGAGAGGAGGGACGCATCTAGAAAAGATTTGTCCAGCGGCTCGACAAAAGGGCGCCTGTCTCGAGGACCTTCTGCTCTCAACCAGATCGAAACGTTCTGTGGCAAGCCTGCAAAGTTTGGTACCGAATGCAGGACCGGCTTTGGAGCAAGGCTGTCTCAGTCAGTTGAGGGGTTCCATACCTATACTTTGGCAAAGTAATGGTTCACCTGCTGGTATTGTCATATTTGCACCGTACTGTGGTGACGGTAGCCATCGGACAACCAACAGGCCAGGGGAGAAACGCATCTACTCCTCGATCCGCCATAACGTGGATGCAAATTGTTCGCCTCTTGAACCAAATCCTTTGTATATCAACAGCTGCGTTCCCGCCTGGCTCATCCAAGGGTGGAACCGTCGTTTGGACGATACGGGCGCTTGACAACCGCATGACGGTCGACATTGCGGCGCCCTGTTCTGGGGTCTGGGCAGCCGCCGACCCCGGAATTGGGGCACGGGAGGTGTGGCGCCCTTGTGAGCAGCATTCGCGGACTTATGTTTGACATATACATGCATGAAGAGGAATGTTTACAGATGATGTTGAAAAACATACGAACAGGACGCTTTTAGGCGATAATCAACCTTGTCAAATGAGGAACGATTATTGGTTCGCTTAAAGCCGGCCAGCTAGCCTGATCAAGGCTCTCATTAAAGCAGCGGGACTTTTGTGAAAGCCGCTCGAGACAAAATCCAGCCTTGTCCATCCCCGCATCGCATCTCCATGTGCATCCACAAACCCAGCATCCTCAAGCCTAGAGGTTACAGGAACCTCGACACTGAAGGGGGTGCTTGAGGGGTATGAGTCGCCAACATGAGCGTGATATTGTGTACAGGTACTGTCTTTCTCACCATCGCAAGGCCTAGGCAAAGAGCTAATTCTCCTTTTCAGCCGGTTATGACCACACTATTAGGTTCGCCCTCTCTCTCTCTCTCTCTCTCTCTCCTCTCCGTGGCCTCTTCCTTCAAATTGACCTGCTCTCACCCACTGTAGATTCTGGGAAGCTCTCTCGGGAATATGCTCGAGAACAATCCAACACCCGGAATCCCAGGTGAACAGACTATGTATCACTCCAGACAAAAAGTACTTGGCCGCCGCGGGCCGTCACATGGTGCGGCTCTACGATATCAAGTCCAGCAACCCCAACCCCATCATGCAATTCGAGGGCCACACGAATAATGTGACTGGCGTCGCATTTCATTGTGAAGGGAAATGGATGGTCACGAGCTCTGAGGATTGCACGGTAAGAGTATGGGATACTAGGTCGGGCATGGTTCAGAGAAACTATCAACACTCCCATCCAGTCAATGACGTGGTGATTCATCCAAACCAGGGTGAATTGGTCAGTTGCGACCGTGGCGGAAATATTCGGATTTGGGATCTGGGCGCAAGCAGATGTACCCATCAACTTGTGCCCGTGGAAGACATCTCCATGGCCAGTGTGAGCGTTGCGAGTGATGGCTCGCTCCTCGCTGCTGGAAACAATCTGGTACGTCGAAGCGGATGCAAATTCCACTAGAAAAGACAGCTCACAATACCACTCCAGGGAGACGTCTATATCTGGCGTGTGTATCAAAATCACGACTCGACCACCCTTCTCCCATGTCGCGCATTCAAAGCCCATAAGGATTACCTCACCCGCCTGCTCCTCTCGCCAGATATAAAATACCTCGCAACCTGTAGCGCCGACCATACTGTGCGCGTCTGGAAGATCGACATGAATGAAGAGCATCTTGAGGATATCAACGAACCACAAACCCCCCCCATATCACAACAGCAGCAGGAAGGATCAACAGGCCATACCGAACCTACTCCGAACAATCACAACCAAAACACGATCACGCTCTCACGCTCCCAGCCTTCCCTCCCCAGCGCCGAGATAGACAGAAATTCCGACTCCTCTCCCGATCCTAAACTATCCCACTCCACCCCATCTCTCACATCAGCTTCCTCGCAACAATTCCGCCCCACGACCGACCTGATATCCATCCGGCGACCCCTCCCTTGCCATGCCATATTGGACATCCACCAACGCTGGGTATGGGACTGCGCCTTCAGCGCCGATTCCGCGTATCTTGTCACCGTCTGCTCTGACCATTACGCGCGCCTGTGGGAAATCCTCACCGGGAAAATCATCAGACAGTATAGCGGACATCACAGGGGGGCGGTGTGCGTCGCGTTAAATGACTATAGCAATCCGCCTTAGGGAACGGATTGGGAGGAGGAAGGCATGAGCGTGGACGAGTTCAAGTGCAAGCGATATGGAATTAGAAATGACGGCGATGGACCCGACACTGAAGACGATCAGGATGGCGGGGTAGAATTGAATTCCTCCCTCCTATTCCGATGATAATGGACGGGGCAGAAGAAAGAAGGAACGCCTTGTCACTCGCTCACCGCAACTCTAAGGGAATGATTCAACGTGCTGCTTGAGCAGTCGTGGGTAATGCAAGGAATGGGAATCGAGGTTCGGAGTTGATGGGGGCCTTGACGGGACTCTCTTGCTTGAACAGTAGTGCACGGGGATAACGGGAAAGCGGATAGCATTATTGTCGGCGCTTGTCGGAGCATAACATCAAGGACCCTGGCAGGGCGTACCCGTTGAGGTTGGCTGGTTGTCTCCAGTACAACCAAAATACAATAGCAAATGTGCCCCAGGGATGTGGACAGAATGTTGCCCACTCTTGCGTCGCTCTTGAATCCAGTGTGCTCTCATTGTGCACTATAATATGTTTTCTGCGAATAGTGCCCTCGAGGTGTAGCTGCAGAGGCATCCTTGGATAGGGCAAAAGTACAGGACGCTATGAGGATCACAGCTTCAGGCCAAAGCTCAACCCAGACACTGGCGAATCTGAGGTAGACCAGTCTGCAGTCTTTGCTCTTGCTTCTTTCCCTTTCCTTCCTGATTGTCTCGAGGCATTAGTCTCCATCTTCTTCAAATTCGTCATCCGCTCCGTCTATTTACCCCTTCCGTTGATCTCCATTCCTTTTTCAACATCCGAGCCTCTCTGCCTACGACTTGACCACCCTAAGCACGAAGTTGACAATCACCGCTGCGAGAAGGGCGAGAGCCAACACCGTAGGTCCAATCCGGTCATCGAACCCGCCCTGGCCCCTGATTCGGATAGCTTTCGCTCGCCAGTGGAACGTGATGAGTGCATATATCATGGCTGCCATAGCCACCAAGGTAAAGAGTCCAGCGGATATGCGGCCGACCGAGTCGCCGAAATTGAGAAGGCCGACGGCAAGTCCACCAAGAATGACAGTGAAATTGAGCCACGAGAGGAAGGTACGTTCATTAGCGAAGAAAACTTTGGGCTCAACGCGAGTGGGGAGGGCAATACGTTTGCCTGGACAGATGAAAGTGTTAGGAGGAGGCGGAATCAAACAAGACGCATACAGGAGTGGGAGATCTTACCCGGGGCGCTTTGAAGAAGTGGTTGTTCAGACATGTTGTCGGCAGAAGGCGGCGAGCTATATCTTGTACTGGTACTGGTAATGCGAGACTGGCTTGAAGATGGCGAAACTATGAAAGCACCAGCAGATGTGGTATCCCCGTTGTTCTCTGCAGAATTGGACTCGGCGGGAAGCCAAGGTGCTGTCTCGGGTATGTGGATGACAACCTTTCCGGTGAGGAGGTGTCTTTGATCAGGTGAAGTAACTCGGTTGGACCTGAGGGTATTGAGGGTGTGGACTGATTTCTGGGTGTGAAATCGATTTTCTGTATTGGGGACCGACTCCAAGCCACGACGCTTACTTGGCTGCTGGCTACGCTCAAGTTTTTGTCCGGTCTCCTTCGGCGTCGGTTGTGTTGGTTTCCCTGCCGAAGCAAACCTTTGGCTTCGACTTCTCGACTGGTAGAAAGGTAGCAGAGGTCTTGACTGCTGCCGCGACGGTTCTCCTCGTTCTTGACCACCTCGTGAAAGGTGCGCAGCGACTCTTCCTCGGGACTCCAATCCAGAGGGTCAAATCCAGCTCTTGAGAAGCTTAAAAGACGGGCTTGTGGGGAGCTCGGGAATAGGCGTCGGCTCTGTGATACCACGAGGAATTGTTGCTTGATCGATCAAAGCGAGTGAAACAGTGTGCGGTGCGGATAGGTGCAGTTCAGCAACTAGGTGAGGTCTAGCAGCGGTCCTTTTTCTTCTTTCAACTTTCCAACTACCACACCATAACAAAAGCCAGTCACAACAGCAGTAAAAGTATGTCCAGGTAAGAGGTAGAGGCAGATAGAGTTGCTAGTTCTCTGACTCGAAAGATATACAGCGAGCCGCAACCAAGATAGAATGTGCAAGGAAGAGTGAATTGGTTACCGAAGAGCAACCAAAGAGCAATTGACGAAAGGTTTTGGTGCAAGTCAAGCTCTTTCTCGATCCAGGTAAACCGCCGCTGCGGGGAAGGCACCTGCCTGCATCGAAGCTTCCCATTCGCGCAGCCCCTCCTGAAGCTTTGGGGTGCTTGGGGCTTTCTGGGCTTCCTTGTTCACGTCGGCGGCGGCAGCGGGGTCTCTGCTTCGCCGTTGGGAAAATGTCAACTCTACTGCGGAGGGTTAAGTCAACTGTGGCCGTCTTCGACCCCCCGAGCCCGCATCAAAATAATCAACAACATCGGTGTGCATTGGATCCGGCCGCTCGTCCAAGCAATCAAGCAAAGCGACTGCGACTGCGCAAAGCTTCTCAGCACCACCGCTCCAATCCAGACCTGCTTGACGTGGGTCTCAATAAGAGCACCCTTACTTTACGCCAGCCCCAGCAACATCCTGAGCTCGGCCCTCTCACCGAGTTTCGACGCCGGCTTGCGAGAAAAGCCTCGACGCTCAGTTTGAGAGGCAGACGTCGACAGGGCGAGCGCGATCAGGCCGGAGTGATCAAGGAAGAGGAGAAGATCAGAGAATTGGCATTGGCGGGAAGCGAAACGGGAAGCACTAAGTGCCAGGAACACCGAGACAGGGCACCCCAAGAGACCAGACTCGAAGGTGAAGAGCAAGCGTCAAGACCTGCAGGGAACCGTCCAGACGAGCAGCCATACACAAGAGAGTCCTCGGTGACCACAGTCGTCCCTTGCGACCCCATTACATCCCTCTTCGTCAAGGAACATCCGTCACTTTCCATAGCAGACAACCCACCTGAGACCTCCCCTGGATTGCAGGATCTCATTCGCAAGACCCAAGGAACCTACATCACTAAATACGTGGCAGGAGGAAAGACCTCAGTCAAGAAAATGGCGTCGCAACAAGCTCCCCCTCCCGTGGCCTACAGCCGGCTGAAGGAGATTACAGAGAAGGTGAGTACCACGTCGGGCATGCACCGAGAGGGTGTCCAAAAGCTGCAGAGTGCAGGGCGCTAACTTCCCAACCTTCGGCCGGATAGGCATGCGAAGCTGCCCTTTCAGGGGTAACGTCTTACTCCCATCCGGACACTGAACGCTGGAATACGACGATAATCAACAGCATCCTAGGCGCCCTCGTGGAAGAGACCACGGTAACATCCGCTTCTGGTTCCATGCCGAACCAACCACAGTTCAAATACGTGGTCAACAGCACCATCATCCAGCACGCGGCTTCATCCCCGGCTTCGGCAGGCGACGACACCAAGAAAACGAGTGGTCGTCGAGGCATGCACGCGGCAAGTGGAGCTTACTGGAACAACGAAAAGGATGGCATGTGGAGCTTCAAGTACGCTGGCGCCGATAGCAAGGGGTTGGATGTTGTCGTTGGTGTCATCTGGGTCTGGGTCGGGTAGAGGTGCACTCACCGGTTTTGCCTGATGGACAGCAAAGCGGGTGACGGCGCCGTCCAGAACAGCTTGATCCGGAATACCCTCGGACCGTTGATAGAGGCTTTCATTGGTGGGGTAGTGAACAGCAAAGCTCATGGTCTCTGGAAATTACCAAGTGAACTGAGATCAAGAATTAGGGATGGGTAAGGCGTGCTGAGTCTTTTATGTCAAGAAAACAGTGTGTTGCTCCCCACGCGGTCATTTCACGAGTTGTTGGTTTTCGGTGGCTTTCTGTGGGATCGGGCGTTGGCATGGGAGAGCGGCGCGGGCAATTCTCCCTTCCGTGTCGAAAAAAACGTGCTTGCCATGCTCTCAAGTCGAATGAGAAGTCGATCTGGGCCCTGAATGATGGATGGATCAACATGTGCTTGGATGGACTGTTGAAATGAACGGTCTCTGTGCAATTGGTTTTTTGGTCTACTCAAAATTGAATGGCTGATGGAGAAATTTCGCTCAATGCATGTTGAGCCCCGGCTCGGGTCATCCTGCAGGTTACTGGGTACGTACCCAGTAGTCCAACACGTCGTCTCTGTCGCCACTGATCCGGATTCTCCCAATCTTCTCGCCAGGCTTTGGGGATAAACTTTGCAAGGGAATGGTTGTTGAAGTCGCTTAGAGTAGACTCGGACCCTAGAGCCAGACTCCGCCGCGTCACAGCCGGTGACCGGCGTCGAGGTATTCGGTCGACTCGAGTCCTGATGCGTGGCATGATATCAGCTGGACGAGAGTCAAAGACTCCTTCAGAGCCCATCCACATGATGATCGATCCGTCTCCAGCGCGGCTTCGGGTTGCCTTGCCTTACGTACAATTGTCCTCCCAATCTTGTGCAGAGCCGTTTCTTTTGCCGCTCCGCCTGGATGACTTGCAAGCGCCATTAAGGTTGGAGAGAGGGGTGCTTGCAATAAGGCAATGAAGTGAATTGGGTACCCAACCGTGTCCAGCTCGCCGGGTCCAGTGATGGATATTTTCAGTCACACAGGACAGGTATTGGACTTCGGTCTCACCGGTTGCGTCACAATACATGCTGTCGACCAGATATGGTCAGCTCAGATTGTCGAAAACTGGGGGAGGCTGTGGTTTACATACAACAATTCCAAGATCGCATATCAAATCCGCAGAGTGTTTTAGGAGTCACGACGGGGAGTCCGAACAGGGCTGATGGGAAGCTCTTGGGCTGGAGTCTTTGATTGGTTCTGAAAGTTGAGGCTTAGTGTGGCTTTGATGGCTTGAACATGTCGGTCATCAGCCGAGACAGCACGCAATTCGCAGCTCAGGTAACAAGGGAAACGCAAATGGCGGGGACGGCCGGAGAATTTTCTCCAATCCTGGGTCGATGACTCGAAAGGGGTACGTTCAGGAGTCTTGGAGTCAATGATGCATCGCTTAACGGATGGTTGGTGTCAAGATCGACATCTGTCCAGTGCAGACGAG